ATGAACATGGCACGTCATTTTATTGACTTGAACTGGGACACATTTCTGTCCAAGCTAGCTAGTGAGTTGGGATTTGTTTCGGAGAATGCCCAGAAGTATATGCGGAAGGGTTCTGATCATCACAAGAGAATGTCGGTGTTGAGAGTAGCACACATTGGATTGTGGAAAGAAATGTTAATCCCTTACATAAGGGATAGGCTTGCATCAGGCAGCCCCGAAATTTCTGTCAATGATTACCTGTACAAGTGGATGCCTGAAGTTGGCTGGAAGAGTGCCACCTACAGCTACATCTTTGGAATGACGTATATCTATCTCATGGCTCTAATGGTGCTACGTATGGGTGTGCGAAGGAACAATAGTTCCTACATCAGAGCAGGGCAGTTGTCATTTGCACCTTTGTTCCATAGAAGTAGCTCATCAAAATATGCATTGATAGATCTACACGACAGGTGAGTGGCATTAAATTGTTTGAATTTGAGGCCCATGTCGATCCGTTTGGCTTTGCAGCCAATATTTTATGGGTCGCACTGCAAAAATATAACATGGATCTTCAAGGCCACATGGGTGAAAAGGGGTCTTGAGATAAACTGTCAAATGTTGCCCAAAAATTTTGTATTGTTAAGTGTGACAAACAAAACCAAAAAATTTGAGCATAGCCTTGAAATCGAAAAAAGGCATAAGCCAGCCACGATTAACTATTAGCCCATTTTACTTGTACATTGTAGCAGTACACACATTTTGTAACTAATAGTAATAAACTTTTACATGTAAAATTTTGTACATTTACATGTATTGTAAATGTGTGGGGTCTTCTCTGGAATGCATTAGACCACATTTTAGTGCAGTCCAACTTTAAATAAAGGTCTTGTCTAAAGCAACCTGTTTATTCTCTCTTTCCTATTAATACATGTATTTATAGCATTGACCGTGCTCACTACCCAGGGAAACTCAATAAATTTGTGGAAACTACAGAATCTGTGAGTACCTCTGGTAACATGAGCAAAGGAGAAGATATGGATGCTTGCCTAGAGGAAGTAAATAGGGACTCGAAAGTGTGGCAGCATGGCAAGATGGTTGCTCTTGACTGGCTCCGAATTTTCAGAAATCTTGGAAATTTGAGCAAGGTTTGTTTACCTTTTTTACTTACATGTGTGTACATATATATCTGTTAGCAGGCACCAGATAAAAAATGCCATCTATGTAATCTGGTAGCTGCTAACAGGGGAAGTAGACATGTGGACGTGTGTTTTCATGCCGGATGATAATATTATTTTAACTCTTGTAGGCCGGGACATGACATTTATCTTGTAACAAAAAAATATTAATTTTATAATCTTAGTCCCTGTTTGCTGGACTTTTCATACACATGTTGCAGATGAAATTGTAGCAAATGGTGGGACCATCTACATGTATTAGGGACACCTTTCTGTTGTAGAATCACTGTGGCATTTACTTTCAGATATTTTACATTAATATTGAAATGTTTATAACAATATCACTATAGGTGAGAAACTGGTTCTTCACCATGGCTGGTTTACAAAACCCAAAAGAGGAAGCCATAGAGTCTAGAAGAAAGTATGACTTTGGAGATGAAGTGCTTGCATGGAGGATAAAGCTTCGAAAAGAAAGGCAAGTTTCTGTACTATTTCAAGTGCACCTCTTTGACCTTTATTGCAGTGTATGATATACGCTCCAAATTTAGACCTAACAATTTTTGCTAACATGATACACGGTAACTGCTATTGCTTTGTATGAGAATAAAGTTGAAGTCATTACCTCAGCTCACAGACTTTTGTCATCTAATTCCCAACATTCCAAAGTTTGTTTTATATGAGAAACCATAATTATTATTATGGTATGGCAAATTTCCCTGTAATGCATGTTGGCCAAATCCTTCCCTGATTTCCTACTACAGGTATCTGGAGGGGAACTGTTCAGAGAAGCTAATTTCCTTGGATGGCCTTGAATTGGATAAGGATCTCCCAAACGATGAAGAAATTTTGCAGAATAACCGGAGAAGACTGCTCAGTGAACATTTCATTGATCGCAAGAAGCGAACAGAGGTGGAGGTACAAAGACTTTATGTAACTGTTCAAGAAAGAGCTGTAGCTGAAGGTATAAAGAATGCCACCAAGGATGAAATTCTGAAACGCATTGGAGATAAACTACAGCAGATTTTTGATGAAGAGGTAAGGGGACCTCTGTCTAGCAAGCTGGAATATTTTAAGGCCCACCCATGTAAAGCCAAAAAGGATGTACTGCTTGTATTGTACAATGACATAATTGAAGAGCTTCAGCACCTTGAAGCAGTTGACGAACAGTGTATTGTGGAAGATGATGAAGATGGAGAGGTTGACTGATGATAATATTGTATATTATGAAGCTGTAAAAATTGTGCTGATCCATAAAACATCCATACCTCCTCCACGGAAGGGATTTTTTTAAAATAAGAACCCAAGCCCCTATAGAAATTGAAATTTAACTTCATACATTGTGTGGTTCCTGAAAATATCCACACCCATCACAAGGATGGTCACTGGAAATTCCGAGGGGGAGGGGGATCTCAAAAGTCAAATTTTTAAAGGGAAAGTATGAAGCAAAACTGGAAATTCCAGGTAGGGTAGGAGGGTCTGAACCATAAACCATCCTTGGGGGTATGGCTATTTTCTGGACCCACACATTTCTATAGTTTTTTTGGTCTTTCAGGCCCCCAGGAGTTTCCAGTCCCTTCTGTGGTGGGAATATGGATATTTTCAGTATCTTTTCATTGAGTAGTAAAACAAAATTGTGCTGCTTTTGTCAGATTTTGTGTCGGATATCGACTCTATTACACACTTAAATGAAATTTTGCAAACTGCTGGCAGGACTGTTAGCAGAATCACAGTGGTTTTTTTTCTGCGTATGTATATTCTAGAATTTTATCTCAATAATTTATCTATTTCTTTTAAAATGTTTCACTTTGTTAAATTTCGTGTATGCATGCACATACTGTACCAAGGAATGTTTCCCTGCCATTGAGTTACAATAGAAGGCTGCATGAACAGTGATAAATATAATGTGGCCTAGATTTTAATCCAAGCTAAAAGTCACATCAGTAGTAATTTAAATGGATTTTTTCCTCGAGTTCAGTGTAAGGTTCTCCTGATTACAAATACAAAAATTTATAGGAATGCACGGACGAGGGGTGATGGTATAACTGGGGGTACTTGTCAAACCTAAAACCACAAGACTTATTTTACAACTTTTTAACAAAGAGCCCAGAGCAGTTGGTTATGACAGGAATGTTCCTGCTTATCCAAATAGGTACCTAGCTACTCGCTGAAAAGATATTCTTTTAACTTTCAGCGGTTTGTTTCAAAACTTGCAATAACCATTTACATGTACATCACTTTTATATGTGAGATTCCACCCCTCCTCCTTTTATGCAATTATTGGTATACTACAACAGCCATAAGTAATTTAATGGACTATTTGCTTTTAATCAATGATTGTTCAATTGCTACAGTAGTTTTTTTTTTAAAAGTCAATTCAATTTGACAGAAACAATAGCACATACTGAGTTGCCTTGTAGAGCTATGTATTTTGACGGTTCATATAGCTTCAATAAACATTAACAAAACATAACGTTCTGATTGTTTTGGGAAATGCCCAAAAGTTACCAGGAACAATAACAATTTAATTAGCTGACGAGGGTCTTTGATTGATCATCCATACAGTATCTGCTATCACTCTTCCTCTCCAGCAACAAAGATCTCTACGCTCTCGTCAGAAATAAATGATATTTTACTCTGTTTCTGGACGGTGGGTACGTCATTTTTCTCTTTGTCGGTGAGTTGCGGCATCGGTTTATTCAACAATAATTCCTTAACAGGAGTTGGTATCACAGCGTCAGGACTATCACCATAGTGCAACCTCTATCTAGAAGGAGGGACGCGAGTCTCACCTCTCGTTGATGAATGCTCTAGAACGCCAGCCAAACGATGATCAATATTGATATGTTCAGGAGCATCTTCGAGGGGTTCGATTTCAGGGCGATCAGGGTCTTTTGCAGTCTCCGGGGCATCGTATCTGTGCACGGCTCTGGTGGGCTTAAGTATTCCTTTATTATTTGTTTCTAAAAGGCCCAAAGAACCGCCGACAAAACGCTGTCCCTTGTGATCGATTACAATAATTACTTCAGCCTTTGTCATGGTGTGAAGAGCGTGACCCTTCTGAAATAAAGTCGCCTTGCGCCGGTATAGCGCGGAAGACCTCGCCTGGGAATTGCTTATGTAGGCCATTTTCTCTTTCCCCCTTCGCGGTGTATTTCTTTTTAACTCGGCCGTTTGCGAAGTTCCATTGCGAATATAAAGTAAGTAGTTTTAATACAATTGCCATTGTTCGAGTTCAGCAGTGCGGTTCTCCTGATTACAAGTACAAAAATTTATAGGAATGCCCTGAGGAGGGGTGAGGGTATAACTGAGGGTGCTTGTCAAATCGAAAACCACGAGACTTATTTACAACTTTTTAAGAAAGAGACCAGAGCAGTTATGATAGGAATGTTCCTGCTTGTCCAAACAGGTACCTAGCTACCCGCTGAAAAGGTATTCTTTTAACTTTCAGCGGTTTGTTTCAAAACATTCAATAAGCATCTACATGTACACGTGCGCGAACCGGAAAAGGTTTCAACTGGGCAACAACATGAGCATGATGAAAAAAATATTACTTACCAAGCTTCGCCTTCAGTACCGTTTACATCAGGGCTTATCGAATTCATGGTTCCAAAACAGTTTTTGAGATCACTTCAATTTTTAAATATAAGACTGACAAAAATGACCACGCGAAACACTTGCGTAAGAGCAGTGTGATAGCGGAGCTCTGGCGCGCGAAGCGCGCCTGCGGAGCACCATGGGTAAGTAAATCTACCCATCCCAGAAAATTTGGTAATCACGTGACCGTACACCGCCCGCCCGCCCGTCCGTCCGCACCACAGGCATACCAATGCAAAATTTGGGGTAGTCTGTGAGTCTGAGGTCTTTTTTTTGGCGCGAAAACGAATGGCACCCGCGTTTTGTATAGCGTAAGCAACCAAGCGACAGCAATTTAGTTCAGCGAAGTCAATTCAGAACAAAAAGAAATTTTTCGTATCGGTTGATGTAAATTGTTTTTACTTCTATATTTTTTGTAAATTTTTTACTGATTATGTCCTCTAGTTTGGAGTACAGAGACAGGGAGAGACAGAGAAAACGGGAAAGTAGGCGGCAAGCAAGCCAAGCTCAACGAGAGAGAGAGCGGCAGAGAGCTATAGAAAGGAGGCGAAACTGCACTGACGAGCAACGGGAAAGAGAGAGAGAAAGAGACAGAGAAAGGAGAAGCAATTTTACTGACGAGCAACGTGAGAGAGAGCAGGAAAGGGATAGAGAAAGGAGGCGCAATTTTACTGACGAGCAACGGGAGAGAGAGCAGGAAAGGGATAGAGAAAGGAGGCGCAATTTTACTGATGAGCAACGTGAGAGGGAGCACGAGAGAAACAGAGAAAGGAGGCAAAATTGCACTGAAGAGCAACTCGAGAATGAACGAGAGAGAGCAAGAGAAAATAGACGCCGAATTAGCGACGAGCGGCGAAGAAGAGAGCGAGAAACAGCAAGGGGAAACAGGCGTCGTATAGACGAAGACGAGCGGGAACGAGGAGAAGGTGAGTGACTATCTTCGAGGTTAGTTTACTGTTAATATGTAGCGGATAGAAGGCGTGTGGTTGAAAACTGTCTGACTTTCTGTTGTTTTGTTCCTCTTACCAATCAGCACACGTCACTTGTTGTCACGCAGTGTCGAGTTTCAGACAGTCGGAGATTTTATCTTGAGGGAAGTGTATTCCGTCTCTAGTAGTTCGCTGCGGTTAAGATATTTTGAGATGTGTTTAAGTTCGGAAAAAGAAAGGAAATTGAAGTTTCAATTTAACAAGACAGGCACATCAAAGATGTTACAGTATAGTACTCATCGATGTATTTTCGATCTTTCTGTTTCGCGGAAAACGCAAGGTAATCTTAATTTCATCAAGAATTTAGTTAAATAACCGGCATTGTTTTCTGTCCGATGCGACCGTGCAATGAATCGCTCAATAAAACTCCTGTCGTGACTGTTCGTCATTCTGTAAGCTTACGTAAGCGTAAAAATTTTTGCCGCGACTCTTGCCTTCGTGGCAAGTGAGAAATTTTTCAGTGTGTTAGAGGATCGTAAATTACATGTAAACGGCCTAATGTCTGTGAAAGCGTTGTTATGTTTTATGTAACCGGAGATCAGGCTCTATTTTCGTTTCGCTTTGAAAATTACATTCCGGCGGGCAAGGCGAAACGAAAAGAGAGCCTGATACAAACCTTGAACGAAATGTCTGCCGCCCACTTTTTTGATTGATTGACATTTGCCGAATCAGCCAATCAGAATTACTTCCGTTGCTTGTTTTTCTAGTATGCAAATTTTTCACGCGTGGGAAAAATGCAGACTGCCTGACTTAAAAAATAGCTTTTATCTGTTAATTTTTTTCAGCTAAAAATAAAACAGTCACCACAATCACATTTAACTTCTTGCGAGATTAAGGAAGATCTCGAAGGTTACTTCTGTTGGCGTAGAAGGTAAAAAGTTTTCGACAAGACGGCGACACGATGTTCTACCAGTTTTATTTTTTTCTGCTAGGCGCTCTGGAATTTAAAATACTGAAATCTCTATTTTTCCGTTGTCTTGATATTTTCCTCGGCAATTTCTCCCGATTTTCAGTACATAAATCTTTAAAAACAAAAGCAAACAGCCAACGAGCGAGGACACCAGTTTTCTTGGTTTATTTTTTAACAAAAAGCGTAGTCAAACAACCAGTCTGTGAACACTGAAAATTCCTTGAACAGCGATGCGATATTTTTCGTCTAATACTTCACAGTTGGCGATTGAGGTTTCTTTCGCAGTGAGCCTCCACTTGCGTACCCTGTTCAGAGAAGTCATTCCCTGCTAAACTTTCAAATGAAACCAGTTTTAAGATGGACAGTATTTTGATTTGCACCCGCTTGTTGGTAAATCAAAATGCACCTTGTTAGCGGTCAACAACTTGCAGAGGGATTCAACTCCGCGACACACTCACTGTCCGTAAATAAAGCAAATCCTGAGAAGATATGAACAACCATATGAATTTTCTGAATTNGGCGGGCAAGGCGAAACGAAAAGAGAGCCTGATACAAACCTTGAACGAAATGTCTGCCGCCCACTTTTTTGATTGATTGACATTTGCCGAATCAGCCAATCAGAATTACTTCCGTTGCTTGTTTTTCTAGTATGCAAATTTTTCACGCGTGGGAAAAATGCAGACTGCCTGACTTAAAAAATAGCTTTTATCTGTTAATTTTTTTCAGCTAAAAATAAAACAGTCACCACAATCACATTTAACTTCTTGCGAGATTAAGGAAGATCTCGAAGGTTACTTCTGTTGGCGTAGAAGGTAAAAAGTTTTCGACAAGACGGCGACACGATGTTCTACCAGTTTTATTTTTTTCTGCTAGGCGCTCTGGAATTTAAAATACTGAAATCTCTATTTTTCCGTTGTCTTGATATTTTCCTCGGCAATTTCTCCCGATTTTCAGTACATAAATCTTTAAAAACAAAAGCAAACAGCCAACGAGCGAGGACACCAGTTTTCTTGGTTTATTTTTTAACAAAAAGCGTAGTCAAACAACCAGTCTGTGAACACTGAAAATTCCTTGAACAGCGATGCGATATTTTTCGTCTAATACTTCACAGTTGGCGATTGAGGTTTCTTTCGCAGTGAGCCTCCACTTGCGTACCCTGTTCAGAGAAGTCATTCCCTGCTAAACTTTCAAATGAAACCAGTTTTAAGATGGACAGTATTTTGATTTGCACCCGCTTGTTGGTAAATCAAAATGCACCTTGTTAGCGGTCAACAACTTGCAGAGGGATTCAACTCCGCGACACACTCACTGTCCGTAAATAAAGCAAATCCTGAGAAGATATGAACAACCATATGAATTTTCTGAATTTCCATGGCACATATTAAGGCATATTTTCCTACCATAAGAACATAAAACAATTAAAAAAGACAGCAAAATCGATCCTTCTCTCCACCGACGACGGATCATTCACGAAAACAACCACGCGAGGAATAAGCGCTTTCAACTTCCGGCGTTTCCGACAGCCAATCAGATCTTGGGGCATTGTTCTAACAACCAATCAGCGTTACGGCCAAAATCTGGCCGTGACGAGCACAAACTTGTAATAGTTTGTATCAGGCCCAATTTCAGCGGTAGCCGTTAGAGAGAATGTATGAGAACCGCTCAAATTGGCCCTGATCTCAGGTTATGTTTTATGAAAAGTCTTTGAGATGTCACTTGTTTCATCCTTGTGCCTGGCGGACAGTAGCTTAAATTTAAAGATGTTTTGCCCTGGTTTTGCCATTATGCTTTTTGAAAGAGCAAATTTGTTGCAGATTGTGCGGGTTCATGCCTGCCCGCTATTTACTTTTTTAGGGTAAACAGAATTTAAATGTGCGTCAGATTTGCTTTTGTCAAGTGCAAGAGGTATTCGGCTAGCTAATCTCCCTCTTGTAATTGAAATATCTTTTTTTAGTATTAGGCTTTTCCATTCTGTAGATACCTATCTTCTTATATTGTTTTATGTAAATAGGGAGGTCATAAAGTCAGTGCCCGAAATGATTTTTGAATAGTGGCCGGTCACGTTGACAGGCCAAACAAATCTTAGCTCGGTCATTGGTTCCTGCCAAACAAATTGTAGCTCGGACCGGTCGAAATACACTAAAACTTCACTAGTAAGAACCTGCGTTAACAGGCAAATTAAGACAAAAAATTTCCCCATAAATGCTCTAAAACTCCTTGTATTGCGAGATGGGGAAATATTGAATTTAGGACGAACATATCTTAATTATTATAAACTACTTTTGAGTGCGGTTATCAAGTTTCTAAAGTAACATTTTTTAAAAAAACAATGAGCTAAGCCATGTAAAAGCAGTTATTTCAATTTTCAGGTCCTTAATGTTGACCGGCCAAATCTTGACCGAACATATTACGTTGACCACCTGTAATTTTGAGCCTTGACGGTCTGGTCTTGTGGATTAGTTGTTTTTACATACAACTCACTACAGTACCTATCAACCTAATTAAGAGCCAAATATTTCATTTATTTGAGGGAACAGTTTATTAAACTGTCTATTGTGAGGCTCAGCTGTTTT